GGTGCCGCCGGGCGCAGCTGGGGCTGTGCCCACCCACGGGGTCCCCGGGGGGCTTTGGGGCACGATGCCAAATGGCACCAGACCCCCCAAGGGAAGGGGTGGGACGTGGCCCCCGCCACCCGGTACCCGGGTGGCACGGGGGGGTGTGTGCCGGCAGCAGGGAGGCCGAGGGCTGAGCAAACACCTTCTATTTCTTTGAACACAATGGGGAGACCCCGTGCCCGGGCTGGGGACAAAGCCACGGTGCCACCCAGCAGAGCCCGGCGGGGAGCCATGCCCGCAGCACATCCCACCGCGGGTCCCCCGTCCCAGCGCTGCTTCCCAGCCCCCACTGGTTTTGGGGGTGCATGCTGGCAAGAGGGGCTGTCCAGGGGTGCCCATCCCGCTCACGCCGGGCACTGCAGGCTGCAGTAGTCGGCGGATTTGAAGAAGTCGTAGACGTTGACAAGGGGGAACATGAGCAGGGCCCCGAGGAGGGAGCCCAGCTGCTCCGCCGCCCCGTACCACATCAGCGCGCTGCGGCTGCGGCTCCGCAGGATCACCCCGGCCATCACCTTCACGTAGGAGAGTGTCCCGGTGAAGAGCACCCAGGAGAGGACCTGGCAGCGCAGGGGGGAGAGCGGTCAGCGGGGCTGGGGATGTCCCCCACCGTGGGGACAGACGGGAGACAGCGCGGTGACCTCCCCGGGCGAGAGGGACCCCATGACTTACGATGATGGCGTCGCCCCACTGGGAGTGCTGGAGGAGCGGGCAGGGGCTCATCACCGCGATGGCCATGTTGTAGGCACCAAAGCCCATCCCCGCCATGGTGAGGGTGCCCAGCAGGGCCAGGGACCTGCAAGAGACACATGGGTGACACCAGGGAGTGCTGCCAGTCCGGCCCCAGCGGGCAGCACGGACGTGTGGCATGGGCTCATCAACTCCATGCCCACCCCATCCTCCTTTCCCAGGGCGTCTCTGTTGCCAGGGCACCGGCACCCTGTGGACCCTCTCCGACCCGGTGCCTTCTCCCCCCACCCCACCCCACCCCACTGCAAAGCTGGGGCTGTTCCTGGGGCAGAAGCCCCCAGGGCACACCCCACTGCGGCCCCCGGCGCCCCACTACCCACCTTCCAGGCAGGACCATGGCCACGATGCAGGCGAGGGGGTTGGCCATGGAGCTGAGCGTGGCTGCAAGGTGGTAGGCGGCGTTGCCGTAGGGCAGGCAGGAGTAGGACTGCACGGACGGCAGGACCCCGTTTGTCAGAGCGCTCACCCAGGCGATGAGGAGGTAGATGGAGAGCTTGGCCAGGGAGGAGGAGACCTTCTGCGGCAGAAAGTCCCCGCGCCCCTTGGCACCCTTTG